ACTCCTTACTCAGTTAACACACCCATGTAAATCACTGGAAGTTTTGCCCGAGTAAAAACAATGAGAATTTCAGATTTTGGCCCCTGCCATATATATAAAACTTACAGTAGTACCAACTGCCAACTCAAATCCTCACCTGACGTGCTGTGATTTGAGACTTAGGCTTTTCAGATTACATTACAAGACTGAAAACCCATTTATGTATATCAGTGCAAACATCTGGAACATTATCATATGCTGTTAAAACAGACATCAATTCATATATTCCACTACACACAATTCAATACAAAAATGCATGTAAATAACATTATGGTTATGTTTTTAAATTAAAGGGCCAAATCTGCATACACCTGGAAATTCAAAGTCAAGGATGAAAAATCTGCTCCCCTCAGTTTATATGATTGCACTAGATGTAGCAGCTCTTATGTATACTGTGATAAAAGAACATCATAAGGCTCCTTGTAACTGATAAACCCTGCATTACCTCACTTTACATTTTAAAATGTCATTGAGGATTATAAGAGTTGCATGAATTACACACCAGGTGTAAACAGATGCTCCCATCTCTCCAGAATACATACAAACGCTGGGGACAAATGGGCCACTCCCACCCCTACAAGTACTATTTGTTCCGTAGACAATTCGATCAATATGGAAGTAAGCAGTTACTGTAATGTCACTGTATATGGTAGACTAGAATGCCTTCAATGCATATAATTTCATTTTGGTGGGTTTTATTTTATTTTTCATTTTAAAACTTCCTGGCTCATGTTATAGGATGGTGACTAGCAAAATTATATTTTTTTAACCAAGTCTTTATTTCAGTTATATAATTACAATCGTACATCAAGTGTCAGTAAAAGGCTCTTTTGTACACTAGCTTCATTTCAAAATGGTCAGAACAATGTGTATTTGTATAATTGTGTTTTTTTAAAAGAAGAATAGATCCCTGTCTGTGATCCTGAATACCAAGATTCAACCTGGAGTGAATTCATACAATATTGAGACCATTGTTTCATTATGTATGTGCTGGAACACACTGAATTATATGGGCAAGATCATGAGCCTACAGGGCTAGATTAGGGCTAGCTCTGTATGAGGAGGCTGGGGTGAGAGAATGACATGAGCCTCCCCTATTCTGTCCTATTGCAGAGGTCAGAATCAATCCCAGTCTGTGTATTCGTGGCTCACAAGCACCAGGGAACTCTAGATGCTATGCTATAGTATTAGTAGAGACTCTGCAGAGATGGGCTCAGAGCAGGACTATGGTATCAACCACCAGCACTGATCTAACACAGGAGGAAGAATATATTGCACTACAGCAGTGTCAAACAAATGGGCTATGGGCTGGATCCAGACCTCATGACACACTCAGATTGTACAGAAACTAAGCTTTTCTTTTAAAAACAAAACAAAAAACCAAAACCAAAAACAAAACAAAAAAAGGAGAGAGAGAGAGTAAATTTCTAGCCCTTGTGACTGAAGAGATAACCTTCCAAATGTGAACTAAACATAAACCAATGGCATGTCTGCCCGAGTCTAAAGAGAACCTGAAACAATGAGTTAGCAGGATGAACTCCTCTGTCCCCTATTAATGGTTTACGTGTCAGCTTTAAAGCCCAGCAATGACATTAAATGTCAGCATTGACTGATCATTGTAGTGGATGGAACAGGCTAAGGGGTAAGAGTAAAGCTCTTAAGAGTTGGCAGTTGCTGTAGAATAGGAAATACAGGAATAAATAAAAGTTTAGTTACTACATACAAATCTGTATTGTTCCCTTGATCTCTGGGTGAACCTCCCATTACCCTGCTCTAACATCAATTCCTTCCTTCACTGACAGAGCACAGAGGCTCCAGTTCATGACCAGCAAGCTTTCTGTGTTCCCTGTCTAGATCTCATGCAGGTGTATAGGGTGAAGTAATGAAGCAGGACAGGTGTCTGAACTCAGCAAATGACAAACACAGCTACCTAGGCAAGAGAAGATGAGAGTTTTCTGAGGAGGCAAAGTACCACACCCATTTGCTAGAGGGCCGTAGCCCAAACTGAGATTTCTCTGAGCCTTTGTTTTATGTCAAAACTTTTGAACAAGACTTGGGCGGAGACTTTACTCTTATTTCTGGACCCAGTCCACCAACTTAGATGACTACACAAATCCTGTACTATATTAATTGTAAAAGACTTTACAACTCTGTCTACACTTCTCATGAATAAAACAAGGTCTCTTAACATCCTATTGAATCCATAGTTGTTGGGCCAAAGATACTCATCTTGAGTGCTCTGAGTTTTTAGTAACATCCAGCCTTCCTCTATTCACAACATCTCAAATATCCTTGTGGTTTTAAGTAATGAATGTGCTAGGAGGCCTTTACAGCTCACTTTGCATAATTCCAACCAATCTTTCGATATATATATATATATATATATCACTGCATTTTGCTTCTGAAAGCTCATACTTATCTGTATTGTTTTATTTCAACTCTTCTCTCGCAGAGAATTCTCAACTGATATAATCACCCAAGTTTTCCCACCACAATCACATATCAGACTTATCTCTTAGCAAAAGCAACTATTTCAGCTGAAAACTGGCAAATTCACTCACTTTCCTCCTGCCTTCTTCCCCACTCTGCTGCAGTTGAAAGAATTCTCTGTGAGAATGTCTGATTACTATAGCATTCCCTTCAACTACTAATCAACACCACATAAAATACTTATACCAATTCCACCTATGATGTCTCTGGCAGACAGTGGGAATTAAATGGCAAGATTTGGTTCCAAACACTGAGTGCTTGAGAGCTGCAACATCACAGGCATCAAAGCTTTTATAGTGAGAGTGTTGCTGAGATGGTGCGGTCATGTGGTCAGTATGTCTGACAATA